GATCGACCGGGAGGGGGAACATCTGGAGAACCGCTGAACTGATTTCTTTTTTTTTTGTTTTATAATTGTTCAATTTGTGAATTAACTACATTAATATTTTCAATTATTTTCCAATAATGAAATTGAAGGAGTTATTAGTGATTAATTAATTATTGAGATACGTAAGAGACGCGGAGCCTCTCGCCGAGAGACGCTCGGTAGCAGTCTCTCGGCAGTCTTGCTGCGTCTCCCACGCAGAGTCTCTCAAAAGTATGGCTACTGGCGGTGAGCCATACTCTCTCATAGATGCAGCGCGAGTCTTGCAGACCCCAAAAAGACTCAAACTTTTCATCCCGGTTAGTAAGAGAACCTTTTATACTTCCTTGCTAGGGCCGTCAAACACCCTATACCCAGCTAACTATTACGATTACGCTTACGGGGGATCCGCTCACTTCCGGAATAGTAGGGTGTAGGGATTTTAAGGATGTAACTATGGGACACTCAATGTCTGGTAAAGGCTATAGGTTTATTCTTGGCTAAACTATATGAACTAAATACAAGACACTGATTCGGTTGGGGGGTTCGGTATACGCGGTATTAAAAGTGGAGGAGCTGAGATGACCGTTCAGCTTCACTCCCGTACTCACTCTGACTCTTATGAGTCCTCAAAAGTTCCAAGACCCGAAATTGCAGATCTAAGCAATCCNATGGGACACTCAATGTCTGGTAAAAGCTATAGGTTTATTCTTGGCTAAACTACGAACTAAATACAAGACACTGATTCGGTTGGGGGGTTCGGTATACGCGGTATTAAAAGTGGAGGAGCTGAGATGACCGTTCAGCTTCACTCCTGTACTCACTCTGACTCTTATGAGTCCTCAAAATTTCCAAGACCCGAAATTGCAGATCTAAACAATCCCACGGTCCTGGTGCACTAATACAGTTTCATGTCATCACTGACACAAAACTAAAACAGTCAAACAGCTCTTCTTCTAAGAAGCTGGACTCAGGTGTCACCATGGGAATGCTGAGCTCTGCTCGTGAACGATGAGACAAAAATCACATTTCTTTTCTCATCGTTTAGAATTATAAATTGAATGTAACGTATTATTCATAATACGTCATTGTTATTCACAAACAATCGACGTATTGATCACAATACGTCACACGAGAATTCCCTAGAATTTTAACAGAATCCCCATCGAATTTCTAGAGAATTTCACACCTCAGCAATAGGGGCTAAGCCTCCCCCAGGTTGGCGAGCGAAACGGGCAGTGTGTAAAATATTATTTGAATAAGGGGCGTTCCATACTCTTTCAATCGTTTTTTTTATTTGGATGAAAATTGAATACGATGTACAAGTGTTCCAATTATGCCGTAAAATGTTAAAAAAAAATTAAAAAATTTGAAAGGTATGCAAAATCAAAATTTTTAGGTTGGACCAGGTAAGTGATTAAAAAAAATATGCAGGGTGTTCCACGATCAATCCTTTTCCTTCGAGGGTATTGAAAATTGTACTGAAAAAAAACTTCAATTTTAACTTACATACGACTACCCACAATGATGTTAACATCGCGATTTAACACGAAGTGTGAAACTTCGTGATTTCTCGTGAACATCCCCATCATTTGGAAACAACCCATACAATTATGGTTTCCACTGTTCCCCTCCTTGAGACAAGATATTATGTGCTTTTTGAAGTGGAAAGTTCCCCTTCCACTCTTGGATAGGAGCACTTTTTTCCCGCTTTTTGGAAAATGATTTTGGGCGTGATAAGGCATGAAGGGGAAGTATGACCGTAGATGGTTGCACATGTGGATATCAAACGTACCGAAAAAAAAGGCAAAAAAGTTTTGAACAACTGTAACAAATAAATATCCGCCCCTGAAACCAGTAGTACCAGACCAAAAGAGAACAGGATGGACCAAAAAAAGTGCTCAGAACCAAAGGTGGAAGGGGAACTTTCCGCTTCAAACACATCCTCTTCAATATCCTCGAAGGAAAAGGATCGAGCGCGGCACACCCTGTACAACTCGATAAATATCAGTTTCATCAAAGAATTGCAAAAAAAGTTTTTTATTCATAACAGGTATAATTTTCGGTGGAAAAAAATTAAACTCAAAAAAGTTGAATTTACAATTAATTAATCAATAAACAAGTTTGTCAGACAGGTGCTTTAACTTTTTTTTTTATTAACAAGGTTTTTATTCAAAATACGTCAATATTTACAATATATACATTTTTAAAAACTAGTGTCAAAAATTGAATGTCGATTATCTGTTATATGTAAACTTTGGCCT